CCAAAAATGCGCTTACAGCGCTCTTTCCAGCACCAAACAAAACTCATCACGAGGCCATCCACACTGTTTTTTAGCAAGTAAGCTCTTCTCTTGTAGCATCTGCTCCCAATTAGAACCCCATCTGTTCACCAGAGTACCAAACACTGCATTCATCAAATAACCAGTATACTCACAACTACAAAATAAATGAGAGCGGCTCTCCTCCTCTGTATCACAAAGCACACATACTGCTTCATTCATCTTCCCCCACTTCATGGGCTTATCTCGAGTCACAATACGATTTAAGATGATAAGCCACATTAGAACTCTATTGCGAGGTAAAGTATACTTACCCCATATCACCTTCCACCAAGGAACTAATGGTCTATGCACCCTGATGGACTCCCAAACTTGCTGCACTGAAAATCTTCGCATTCTTTTCCCTTCCCAGAATACCTGATTATGTGCATTGGAAGTGATTCTGTACTGGTACCACCCACGCAGCTTCAGCAGTTGTCTCCATAGCCATGATCGAGCCATGGTAGGCTTTAGCTCCCAACTAGAACGAGCTTTCAACCTATATCTTCTCACCCATGCTACCCAAAAGCTCCCCCCTGCAAAAACAGCAACCACAGGAGACGAGCTATACAAGCAACATTCCACGTTCTTAAGTCTCTCAATCCCATACCACCTTCTTTCTTAGGAGTAGCCAGAATATCCCATGCCACCTTAGCTTTCCATGTTCATTCTCCATGCCACAAGAAATCAGAGCAAATCTTCTGAATACTCTCAATTATAGTCTTAGGCAAAATGAATATGGTCATCCAATACTGATATAGGGAGTATAGCACAACAAAGATCAACTGTAGGCAACCGGCATAAGACAACTTGCTAGCTCTCCATGCTCTGATCCGACTTGTTAATCTATCCACTAATACAACACACTCCCTGCTTGTAAACTTTGCAGAGATCAAAGGCATACCAAGATAGCGGACAAGCAAATGACCCTCTCGAAATCCAGTGATAAGGAGAGCATTCTCTTTGTATTGGATTGCTTGACCACCAAAGAAAACCTCACACTTCTGTGGATTGCACTTCATACCAGACATCCAATAAAACTCATCCAACAAACTCTTTACTCTCATTAATGCTCTCGTCGACCCGTTAGCGAAGATGAGTAGGTCATCTGCGAAGGAAAGATGCGTCAACCTCAGATCTTTACACCGAGGGTGGTAAGTTAAGCTACCCTCATGCGGTGCAGCGTTTAACAAACCTGTCAATGGCTCAAGAGCAATGGTAAACAAGTAAGGAGAGATTGGATCCCCATGTCTAACCCCTTTCTTTGCTACAAAATGTCCAAAAAGAGCCCCAAACAGACTAACACTAAAAAATGCAGTACCTAGGCATGCCTTAATCCATTCAGTGAAAGTCTCGAGGAAGTTCATTGCTTTCATAACCATAAACAGGTAAGTCCAATCAACAGAGTCAAACGCTTTCTGTAAATCAATCTTCACTGCACTACGAGAAGCCAACTTTCTGTTTGAGTAGTTCTGAACCATTTCTTGAGCCATTAGTATGTTATCAATAATACTTCTCCCTCTTATAAAAGCTCATTGATTGAGACTAATAACACTAGGAAGTACTTGTTGAATTCTGTTTGCCAAGACTTTCGAAGCTATCTTATAGAAAATATTAATGCATGCAATAGGTCTAAAAGCTGGCATCCTATCTGCATTCAAAGTCTTAGGAGCTAGAGTCAGGGAAGCTGTATTCATACCTCGTGGAATATTTGGACAAAAAAAAAAGATTTTAGAATAACTTATCGGCCTTGTCCCCACATTACTTCCGAGTTGGACAATACCACTAAAGTTTGGGCTTGTTTGAGCCGGCCCAGCAAAGAAAACCCAATTTCCCACATGGCCAACTACTTATTATCACCCGTCGCAGGGTCATGGACCAGGAAACCGGATCGTACCAGCCGGTTCAACCGGGAACCGGACCAAGAACGATACGGTAGGCTGGTTGGCATCAGAATCTTGTGCCGGTCGGTTTTTCCGGCTTAACCGGTACAAAAGTAAATACCTTCCGGTTTTGGTCTAACCGGCGGTAGGCTTACTTCAAGGGAAAACGTCGCCGTTTTCTGAGCCATTTTTTTTTAAGAATCGGCCAGAGGACAAGAATGCCAAAAACCCTAATCTGGGTTTGGGATCCCTTTCCTCTAGTCGTTTCTTTATTCCCCAGCGCCCAGCCCCGCCCGTCGATCCTCCTATGGCCGTCAGGCGACTGCGACCGGCGAGGCTACGACCTGCGACCGGTGAAATCAAGGAGGAAACCCGCTCTGCCGCTCGTCTTCTCTGGTGATTGGCGCCGATCCCTCCCGCCGCTCTTCTTCTCTCTTACTCAGTCGCGCCACCTGCTTGAGTCTCCCTCCCTTGATGCTTAAGAATGCGCCGATCCCCGTCGCTGCTCCTCTCCTCTCCTACTCAGCCGCAATGCCTGCTTGAGTCTGTGTTCGAGATGGGGATCAGGAAAACTAGGGATTAGATTTCTCAAGGAAAGGGGAAAATGGAATTGAGAGAGATACATGAAGATGATAGACCGATGAAGACGATAGGATGACTTATCCAAAAGTCTTCTTTCTATTCTTCCATGTTGCGGAAGCGACGTGGGCTTTCAAAGGGTTGGGCCCAGATTAACAATAGAACCTTAATAGTTTGAAGGAGGAATGAAAGGAGAAAATCACTTGTGCTTAAGACTTAGCCCAACCAAAATGTTAACCAAGACCATCTGTACTCTTCTTCTTCCTTGGAACATAATTTCTTTTTATTAGAATTTTGAATGTTATCCGGTATATTCCGGTTTTATTCCGATATTACTCCAATACGGTATCCTGAATATGTCGGTACGGTTTTTTTAACAAAAAAATATTATTTAATTTCAAAACAGTATTTTACCGGTACACAGTGGTTGAACCACGGTCGTACCCCAAAATATCCTACCACAGATGGGTCCGGTATGACATCCGGTACGGTTTCCTTAACCATGCGCAGGGTAGATAAAATCAATTGACACTCGCCATCACCAAATTTAGCTGCTTCTATTGAACATTGAAAACAATCAAACACATTACTCTGTTTTCCACCTGAAACATAAAGAACACTTAAAAACGAACCATCCAGAAGAAAGAAGAAATTCAGTAGCAAAAATGAGCGCGTTCGTGAAGCTCGTGGATTTCCCGTTGTTCTTGGTCTTTTTCGTGGTCGCGCTGGCGGCGGCGCTGCTCAACGCGCAGACGTGTCTCCCTGCCTCCTATTTCCCGGAGGCGTTGATCAATTTTAAGGAGTGGTACCGCCAGCAGTACGGCGATTACCTGTTCTCCGAGAAGCCCAATTTCTTCGTTGGCACGGTCTGGCTTGAGCTCGTCTTCCAGTGGCCGCTCGCCCTCCTCAACCTCAACGCCATTCTGCGTGGCAAGCCCTGGTTCAACACCTCTTGCTTGATCTATGGCGTCTCCATCACTTCCTCCATGGTAGTAAATCAATCTCCATCTTTTCTCCGCAATTACCATATGAATGATCGATCCCCGATTCTGCCATTGAACCCCAATAAGAATTTTGGTGTGGAAAATAGGGATTGCACTTTTTGATTTAAGGGTCCGCCCTCTTTTGGCAATGTTTGGTTTGGTACATCGTTTGGAAGTTGCGATTGTTTGTTGAGATTGTCATTATGCATGTATTGTTTACAATGCGTCGTTTTTTTGTTTTTTTAGCAGAAACAATACATGGATTATTTCTGTGATGTGACAGAAACTATCACTCATTTTGAGTGATTGTTATATCTCAACTTTTAGTTGTGATTGTTGAGATAGTTGAGTTGAGATTGTTTTGTCTCAGCTTTTAGCTAATGCGACATACAAAATCACACATACCAAACGTAGTATTCTATAATGCATCAAATTCGACAATACATGTATAATATTATACATGCATTCTCAACAATACATCTATTTAACAATCGCAACTTCCAAACCACCCCTAAATCTCTCATAAATGGTATGATTTCTCGTATGAAGACACTTTCTTGATGTGTTTTGTTGTGATGATTAGGGGTGGGCAACGATCCGGTTAACACCGGATTGTACCCAATCAATATTGGACTGAATTGAATCAGATCGAATATATTTCGATTAGATTTTTTTCTATGAATTATTTTAAATATGAAGAAAAAATGGACCAAAATTAAATTTGGACCGGACCGAATCGAACTAAATGAACCAATCATATTGTTGATCAGATTTTGGTATTTATTTTCCCTTTGTTTTTTATCTGTTCCTATCATAATTCAAATTGATTCTGGACTGAATCGACCAATGCCCACCCTTAGTGATGATATGACCAGGTTTAATCTTTCAAATGGTGTTTGGGTCAATGTCCAAATTAATTATGAGTAAATATATAAAAGTAATTAACAAATTTTGTATTTGTAAATTGTAATGATAAAATTTACACTAAACCGGATTATGAGTTAAAGTGCAATATTAACATTTGACTTTTCTAAAATCACCACTAATATCAAAACACTTTTGGAAGAGCTAAACTTTGAATTCTAGTCCTAAAGTTTGGCATTTTAGAACTTGACACTAAATATGCTCCCATTCCTTGTTTTTAGGAAAATAGTAGGTGTTTTTAAAATGCATCTAATTTGTATTGTCAAATTTTGTTAAAATCAGCATAAAAACTAATTATACGATAGTAAAATCATTCCACTTAGTAAACCGATATATTGCACAAATCAATTTGACAACCTTGATTTACGGGGCAAACACACATAATCACCCTTGGCCGGTTTGGTGGGACCGGTCACTTGGCTAAAGGTGTTTTTTTTTTTTTTTTTTGCTTTCAATATCAATATCATCGGTGCTTTAAAGTGTAAAGCACCCTAAAATCCTCCGTGTTTTCCACCTGAAACATCAAGAACACTCAAACAAACCATCCAGCAGAAAGAAGACATTCAGAAGCAAAATGGGCGCGTTCGTGAAGGTCGTGGATTTCCTGCTGTTATTGGTCTTCCTCGTGGTCGCGGTGGCGGTGCCGCTGCTCGGCGCGCAGACGTGTCTCCCTGCCTCCTATTTCCCGGAGGCGTTGATCAATTTTAAGGAGTGGTACCGCCACGAGTACGGCGACTACCTCTTCTCCGAGAAGCCCAATTTCTTCGTTGGCACGGTCTGGCTCGAGCTCTTCTTCCAGTGGCCGCTCGCCCTCCTCAACATCTACGCCATTCTGCGCGGGAAGCCCTGGTTCAACACCTCTTGCTTGATCTATGGCGTCTCCATCACTTCCTCCATGGTAGTGAATCAATCTCCACTTTTTCTCCGTAATTACGATCTGATAGATCCCCGATTCTGCTAAAAAAAAAATTTTGGTGTGGAAAATAGAGATTGCGCTTTTTGATTTTAGGGTCCGCCGCCCTATCCATTTATTGTGGAAATCTCTCATAAATGGTCTGATTTCTCGTACAAACACTTTCTTGATGGGTTTTGTTGTGATGATCATGACATGTACGACCAGCTTTAATCTTTAATCTCAAAGGGTGTCTGGATTACTTTTCCAAGGAGCGACCCTTACTGTTGCTGAAGGGCATCTGGTCAGGAACATGGGAATATGTGTTAGATTTTCTTGGTTTTGATTTGCTAAGATCACTGTAGAATTTTGTTTTGAATTGGTGATCAAATCTCCAACGACAGCTGACGTTTTTGTTCTTTTGTCATTCTGTTTTGTGTCTGTTTCGTGGTTTAAATTTGCAGGTGCCTGTTTTATCAGAATTGATCCTGTCTGGGAAAGCATCCGATGAGCTGCTGATGCTGTACGCTCCTTTCCTGGGCGTCGGTGTAGTAGCCATGCTTCGAGGCTTTGTGCCACACTCTGCGAAGAGTGGTTCTGGAGTCGGGAAGAGAACTGCCTTCGGTAGGAAAAAGAGGGTTTGAGCAAGGATGTCTGTCGTCAACCAATTATTTTAGTCCTGCTCTTTTTCTACGTTTCACTGACGATCAGTTTGTCCATTTTTACTCTTTTCTCTAGTTGACCATATGGTAGGATTCTTGTGAGTTTTGTGCCTGTTTTTGGAGCTTCCTTGGGTTGTTGAGTGTGTAGTGCAGTTGTTATTCTTTAACCAGGGTTACGTTCTTGGTATCAGTTTGGATTCCTCCTGTCTAGTGCTTTACTCGGTTGTGATTAGCTAGGTACTTACTTCCCTTCTCGTATAATCAGCTTGCTGTATAATATGGGTTGCTTAATGGATAGCTAAGGCTCAGTCTTTTATCTGCTTATCAACTCTGTTTAGTTTGCATGACACTGCTTTGGCTTGCCGGTGATGTTACTCCGGCATTTACTAGTGACACGTTCGCTCTCGGGGTGGACATGAGTGCAGTCGAACGGTTTCAGAATCACACCGAACTGCAATTGTGGGCGAACCACATTGCCCCACGAAGCATGTCGTCTGCCTTGCAGTATGTGTTTTAAGCGGTTCGCGATTTTTGGCTGAACCAAAATGTTGCGGTTCACAACCTATTTCCAACTATCTTTTCCAGTTTCCCAATCTCTCTTAAATGATCCACGCCGCCTTCCCCATCTTCCCAATGCCTTTCATCTTGATCATCTTGTTAGACTTTCTGTTTACTTTTACTCCCCGCCATATGGGTCATACTGTGGGAATTGGGTTTAGCTTGATTGGATTTTGAAGCTTTCTTTGACTTTTGTGGCACAATTTTGATGTTTCTCAAGTTCAGTGGAATATCAAGTAGAGTTGTCCATTTCTTGTCTAGCTTGATTGGTTAATACTAATTTTCCCTTGTCCTCATATGATATGGTGTGTCCCCGGAATCCCATCTTCATAGTCTGATGAATATCCAAGGAATTTCATATTGAAAAGAACACCAACTCCCATATGATCCTGGTATTTGTTTTGAGGTGATTGACTTCATTTCTTATGAGAAACATAGCAGGAGCTAGGGTTAGCGGAAGAAGAAGACAACATTGTGATGGAGAAAGCGCAATAGAGAAATGGTTCTCTCTGCTTTCCTTTTATATAAAACCAGAAAGTCCGTGCTTTACGCTACAAAACAGTAGAAATGGAAAACATAAAACGAGAATTCAAAATGACTGTAAATGTAACTCCACGTGTTGCTCCTCCATTCGTAAAGGTTGGTTCCACCCAACGGTAAGTGTTCGAACTCCACAACGACGTAGTCTCGTTCTTCTACTAATCGATGAGTGGAATGGATACGGTTTCTTCTTTGTTTCACTTGGTTCCTCTGCATCTTCAACTTCATTTCTTCTGCAGAGTATCTTCTTCATCATCTTCAGTTAATACTCCCCCCACAAGCTAGCGAGAAAACATTGTGCACTCTCAGCTTGTACAATAGAAACTTCAATCTGTAACGTGTCATGCCCTTGGTAAACAAATCTACAACTTGATCATCATTTCTCACGTGAAACAGTTTTATCAATCCTGATTTTAGCCTTTCTCTTGTAACATGGAAATCGATCTCAATATGCTTCGTTCTTTCGTGAAAAACTGGGTTTTCAGCAATATGACGCAGACTTGTTGTCAGGGAATAAGGGAATCGGTAATGGTACCTTGACACCCATCTCAGATGGTAGATTCCTCAACCATTGTACTTCGCAAACAACTTGAGCTAAAGCTTTGTATTCAGCTTTAGAGGAAGACCTTGTAACTGTGGTTTGTTTCTTGGTCTTCCATGTAATCAACGAGGTGCCCAGAAATGTGCAGTAACCAGTTAACGACCTTGTCGAGTCAGGACAACTCGCCCAATCAACATCACAAAAACCAGAGAGTTCAAGTTTAGCATCATCCCTGAAAATCAACCCCTGTCCAAGTGTCTGTTTCAGGTATCTGATAACTCTGTGTGCAGCTTGCAAGTGGCCATTACATGGAGCTGATTGGAATTGAGCGAGCTGTTGCACTGCATATGTGATGTCTAGCCTCGTGATGGTAAGGTAATGTAACATTCCTATAAGCGTTATTTAAACACTAGGATCAGAAAGCAATTCACCATGTTCTGCAGAAAACTTAGCATTACAGTCCACTGGTGAAAGGAAGCCTTTAGCTTCTACAAATCCTGTATCATCAAGCAACTCAAGGCAATACTTTCGTTGGCAAACAGAAATCCCTTTGTGATCTCTTATTACTTCCAATCCAAGAAAGTAACTCATTTGTCCCAAATCCTTCACATTGAACTCTGTGCTTAAGAAGGTCTTAAGTTGTTCTATGTCTCCAAGATAAATCCCAACAATTAGAATATCATCAACATAGACTAGCACAACCACAACTCTTCCTTGAATCCATCGTACAAACATAGAGTAATCAGTGGCAGTTTGAGAATAACCATTCTTAAGCAAAGCACTAGTGAGTTTTGAGAACCATTGCCTGCTGGCTTGCTTAAGGCCATATAGAGATTTTTGAAGTTTAAATACCAAGCTTGAATCCTTAGGTACATCCACCCAAGGAGGAATTTCCAGGTAAACTTCTTCATCTAAGTCACCATGTAAAAAGGCATTGGACACATCCATCTGATGGATATGCCAATTCTTAGCAACAGCTACTGCTAATAAAGTCTTCATAGAGTTGATCTTGGCTATTGGGGAATAGGTGTCCAGAAAGTCTATCCCATAAATTTGAGTGTAGCCATTGGCTACTAATCGTGCCTTAAACCTTTCAATAGCACCATCTGACATGTATTTCACTTTGAAACCCCACTAAGCTCCTATAGGTTTCTTCCCTGCTGGCAACTTAACCACTTCCCAGGTCTGATTTTCATACAAAGCAAAGATTTCTGCCTTACAAGTCTGCTTCCAACGTGGATCCTTACATGCTTCAACATAGGAAGTTGGTTCTGCAATAGTAATAACACTAAGGGAAAAAGCTCTATGATGTGCAGTAAGATGATCATATGCAACAAAATGAGATACATGATGTTTGTTGCTTACATCAACCATGCTCATATGATAATCTTTGTGCCAAATAGGAATTGTATGATGCCTATTGGACTTCTTGATGAACTCAGCTTCATCATTATCATTAATTTCAGGAAACACTTCTATTTCCATATCCTCCCCTCAGAGTGCAAACTGACAGGTGGCACACCAATGGAAGGATCAGGCAGTGTAGAAGGACAAGGAATAGAAGAGGAGGAAGAAGGTGTAGAAAGACTAGGAGTGGAACTAGAAGCCTGATCAGCAGTAGGATGAGAAGTGGAAGAGTTTGCTGGCTGAACATCAGGAATAATAGGAGAAAGATGAGGTGTAATGAGGTCAGAAGAAGAAGGTAGGTCTGGCTGATCAATAGGGATAAGAGAAGAAAATTGAGGTGTGACTGGATCAGATGAAAAACAAGGAGAAATTGGAGTGGTTTGAAATGGTAAGATGGTTTCATAAAAGACCACATCCCTAGACACAAAGAAGGAATGTGTATTGATGTCAAAGAGTTTAAAGCCTTTGATTCCAGTGGGGAATTGACACGCTAAAACACAACACCAAACTGGACCAAGTGTAATCGCAGCCTGGAAATGCAGAATCGTGGCAATTTCTATTTATCAACCCAAGGTCTAGATCTACTGCCTACTCCGTGATGATTTATTATCTAGAAAACTAAGTTGAGTCAATGTGATTTTAGCTAAAGTAGTAAGAAAGCACGAAATGGTTCGAAGTTCTTAAGCAGGGGAAGAGTCACTCGGGAATGAGTCCCCCTAGCTCCTTAGTTAGGTCAAAGTTGTAATTACCGCTGGTTGATTTACTGTTGATTAAACTACGGAAGATCCGACAATAGCTTGGAATCTGTTAAGCTGACCAAGCCCTCTCAGACAGACTACTGGGCAGACGACTAGTCTTCACCGGGATAGAACGCTGAGGCTATTAACACAGAACTCCACTACTGGAATTGGATTATAAGAAAACAAAGCAGTATCACAATCCAAACATCATTACAATCGATATCCCTAACACATGGAACTAGGGTTCTTCATACCCAAGTGAGAGAGGGAAACAGAAAACAAAGCAGTCATACTCATCAAGATGGGAAGAATCTGCTCTGGGATGATAATCTTCACTCCAAGGATGAAATCCAAGCTTGATTTAAGAAACCAAGCTCCAAAATCACCTCTAGGGTGTGTTCTTCGCACTTTCTCTCTCTAGGACTATGTTTCTAGCTCTGAAAATCGATTCCCCTCTCAAAAGACCCGAAATTGGGTTAAAACCCAGAATTCCCCGAATGCACGGCCAGGCTACACGGCCGTTTATAATTCCTAGATGCCCGTGTGGAGGTATAAAATTCCGCGTTTCACTTATGTGCCTTCATGCACGCTACAAGGCCACGTCACACGGCCGTGTAAAATCTTGGCCTGCCTTCTGCAGGTCTCTGGGATTTCCACACGGCCACAGAGGTTCCTTTACACGACTAGTGTGGTTTATAGGTCTGGCCGTGTGGTTTCCCCGCTTCCTGTCAATCGTTCCAACTTCGTCCGATCGACCCCGAACTCGTGCCCAAACCTTCCTTCACGTACTAGGACATGAAATATCACAAACACGAACAACCGAGCGTGAAAGCAGCCTAAAACACGAGAGATGAGACTCAAACGGTAGAGGAATGGTGGACAAAAACAAGTGTATATATCAAGTCATCAAATTCCCCCACACTTAACTGTTTGCTTGTCCCCAAGCAAACCTGACTCAAACCAATGCAACTCTCCAGAACTCTATAGCAACATGCAACCCGATCGTCGGCAGAGGATTTTCTAGATCATTTAGCAACTTACGAGGTCAACTGGTCTTCTAAGACGCCCCTATCTCTCTCAATGCGAGTACTAGACTCAAGCCAGGTTCATGAGAAGCAGTGGACATAAGACAATCAATTCATGGATAAGGAGACTCACACAATTCAACAACCAATGACTCATTATATCGGGTGCTC